ATGATGCATAGAATCAGATCTGACCAGATAGCTTTAAGGAAGTAAGGTTGACTTTAATGAGCTAATACAGACCACTTTGAAAAACCAACTTGTGTCTTGCTTATAGTGTTCTCACCTCACAGTGAGTAAGGGAGATCGCTACCTGGCAGGCCCAGGAACCTCAGAATATTTTTGGGACCTTAAGAAGAGAGGAATTCACCCAAATCCATAGGTGTTACAGGCGAAGTCTTGTGACTCCTTGGCTTCCTAGCCTTGAGATGCTTTTAAAAGCCCAAATCTGAGGTTCCTTATGAAAAGTTCCAGCAAAGCAAACTCAAAAGACCCTTGGTCAGTCATGATTCTTGCTGCACTTACATAAGTAATCAGGCCAAATTTAATGAGATTAGACTTATTTTGAAAACAAATTTGTCTTACTGTAGACAGAAAAATTATCAGTGCTAGAAAAAGTGGCACACTCTTGTGGATATTAGATTCTAGCCCTGTTCATTGTCTTTGAGATTTTATTATTTACCTGTAAACTGTACTGGATCCTGAATTCTTCAAGCTTCCTCCAACACCTGGCTACAGCTCTCCAAATTATTGTTTTCAATTTTTCTCCCAACCTTCTACACTGGAATCACTAAGAACTACAACTGCCCTTTTTCCAAAGCACTGCAAGTTGCAGCTGGATGAATTGATATGAACTTCAGAGAAATCACCACAACAAATGTGATATATGGACATCCTTCATGCCTGCTGCTATGTAGGCCACTCAGAAAGTTTGCCAGAACACCCAACACCAACATTATAGGCATTCAAACTACAAACCAGGAAATTCATCAAAGACTGCCACTGCCATCCTCACTCCACCATCAAATGAAACCCATATCTAGATAGAGTCTTTACTGGCTGCCCTCCAGACTAAAAAATTTAGTTCATAATTCGCTCCTATCATTAAAATTTGTTTTTAAAAACATTTCCATATGCCTCATTAAATACCTGATTGCTTGCACGTACAGAGGCCAAATTTAGGTGGAGGCCCATCTGCAACACTGACTCCTTAAGTGAAACACAACTGTTTAACTGGACTGACCTATTCCCAAGACTAAGAGACTGATTAAGATATGGGACAATGTAATTAGATTTGTTCTTTTCTGCTTGTTCCAATTTATGGTTTTCTTCTCCTTGGCTTGATCTCTTATCTCACAACATCTAACTCAAGTCTTTCTGCCGTGACTAACTCAGCCTTTAACATGTGAAACTTTCCAGGACTTCCCTGGTGGCACAGTGGTTAAGAATCCACCTGCCAAAGCAGGAAACGTGTGTTCGATCCCTGGTCCGGGAAGATCCCACATGCCGCAGAGCAACTAAGCCCGTGCACCACAACTACTGAGCCTGCACTCTAGAACACGTGAGCCACAACTACTGAGCCTGCGTGCCACAACCACTGAAGCCCGTGTGCCTAGAGCCCATGCTCTGCAACAAGAGAAGCCACTGCAATGAGAAGCCTGCGCACTGCAATGAAGAGTAGCGCCCGTTCACCGCAACTAGAGAAAGCCTGTGTGCAGCAATGAAGACCCAACGCAGCCAAAAATAAATTTATTTAAAAAAATATATGTATGAAATTTTCCGAAGATAAAGTTTCAAATGGGAAACTGAAGGAAACCAGAATGTCACCTCAAAATATGCCTCTTTCTTTGACATAAAAATTATTTTGAGCTGAAGGCAATTAAGAAACATCAAAGTCAGAAAAACCTGCCTCTTTCTTCCTAAAGGCAGTATATAAATTCTCCTTTTGCTGGAGACAGACTCTTATCTCAGAGATGGCACCAGAGAAACCTGCAAGCAAACTTTACTCCATTAGTTTCCTCACATATATTTACCTTCCCACAGCTCACCACTCTTGGAAGCCTAAAACAACTTTCCTCTGTCCTGCCATTTCTGTACTAATTTATTTCTCCTTGTTGAAGATGCTATGTAAGCCACAGTTCTAAGCGAGTATCCATCTTCCATCCAGCCAGGTGCCTCGGGGAAGCTGACCTTACCTCCAGCTCCAGAGATAGTCCTAATTGGTCCAAGATAATCCAGCATTACCTGGGAACTTATTAGAAATGCAGATTATCAGGCCCCACGCCAGACCTACTGAATCAGAAACTGGGGATTGGACCCTGCGATAATATGTTTTAATAAGTCTTCCAGGGGATTCTGATGCTACAGACTAAAATAAAACCATGCCATTAATCGGGATTGGTTCAGGGACAGGCATTTGATCTAACTCTTTCTAATGAGACGTGACATCCACTAGGGCAACTTCCGGGAAAAGTGTCCTTGCTCCTAAGTGAAAACCAAAAGGAGTCATTTTTTCATCTTCCTCTGAGAATTGTGCCTGGCTGCTTGGAAATATTGCAGTCATGTTTATAAAAGACCAGGAATGACATCACACCAAGAGTGGCAGAGCAGAAAGATGGGAAAAAAATCTGGATTCTTAATAACATGATTGAACTACAACCCATCCTGAAACTTATTCTACCTCTAGACTTCCTGCTGAGTCAAGAAATACCCATATTGTTAAAGATAATTTGGATCAGGGTTTCTGTTACTTGCTGTCAAAAGTCTGATAAATTAGACTTACTAATAGTTTACTTTGGATTTAAAAATTTTTATTCATTAGTGAAAATGACACAAGATTTATTTTATTTTATTTTTGCTAGCATTGATAGGATAAACTTCTTAATAAAGTAAATTGGGAAGCTTGTCCTAATTTTTATTATCTGAATAATTTAAATAGCTCAGGAATTATCTGTTCTTTAAGATATGTTGGACTTTCTGGTAAAACAGTCTGGAACTAATGCTTGTTTTGAAGTTAGAACTTTTGGTACGTTTTCAAGTTCTCTGATTATTTGGCTAATTTTCTCTCTTCAAGAGTCAATATTAGTAATTTATATCTTCCAAAGTGTGTCTATTTCATGTAGATTTTCTAAGTTATTGGCGTATGTTGGAAATTTTATAATTTAAATCTATTTTTGGTTATATTCCCTTTCTCATTGTATGTGTTTTTATTTCCTCTCCCTTTTTCTTGGTTCTACTTACTAATGATTTTTATGTTGTAGTTTTCAAAGATAAAACAAGAACAAAACTATTGTTTTATTTATCAGGTCTATGCAGTTTTGCTATGCTTTCTAGTTCATTAATTTCTACTTTTATTTTACTTAGTTTCTTTCTCCTATTCTCTGTTGGTTTATTTTGATGTTCTCTTTTTAGTTTCTTGAATTGAATGCTTAAATCATTTACTTTGTCTTCTATGTGTTAATCAGGTCACTAAAAATTCTGAATTTTTCTTTCAGTTAAGCTTTGGTGGTATCCCATTAGTTCTGAAATGTAGTGTGTTTTTAAATTTCTAAACATTCTGTATTTTAGCACTGATTTCTACTTTAACCCAAGAGTTATTAGAAAACTGTTTTATAATGTTCATGGGATTAGATTGGGTTTGCTACCTTTTTCTTATTAATTTCTTGTTTTCTTGCAATATGATCTGTACCTTTGGAAGCATACTGAGATTTTATTTGCAACCTAGACCTTGATAAGTGTTTATCAATGCTTCATGGCCATTTAAAAAGAATGAATAGTCTCTGTTTAAAGACTATGACAAATATTTGCCTATGTATACCTGTCTTTCTGTCTGTCCATCAATCTATTATTGTTTCCCCATTCCTCCCTATCTACTAAAGCTTATTAATGTCTTCCTTCTTTTCCTTACTCTTTCTCTTTCTACAGCATCAATCTCTGCTTCTCCACTGCTCATTGTATTAGCATACAAACATGCCCTCGTACAGTTCTGTCTAATAGGGATATAAGGTGAGCCACATATGTAATTTAAAATTTTATGATAGACACCTTAAAAAAGTGAAAAGAAAAACTAATTGTAATATATTTTATTTAACCCAATATATATAAAATATTATCATTTTAACATGCAATCAACATAAAAATTATTAACAAGATATTTTATACTTTTTTGTACTAAGTTTTAAAAATCTGATACATTATTTACACTTATAGCACATCTCAGTTTGCAATAGTCACATTTCAAGTGTTCAACAACTACCTGTGACTAGGGGTTCCCATATTAGACAGCTCAGTTTAAAAGTCCTACCTTGATTCAACATTTCCTCCTGCTACAACTCACTTCTCTGTTCCTTTCTCTTTTTGTTCCTCTACCCATTAAAACTCATCTCGTTAAATCCAATAGAATTAGTGTTTGACAGAACTGACTACTTTTTGGGGAAACACTTCTTACTCTGCTTCCGTAACACCAAACTCTCCTGATTTTTTTCGCTTCTCTCACTGGTTAATCTGTCTCCTTTACTGACTCCTCATCTTTTCCCTGATTTCTAAGTGTTGGAGCTTCACAGGCACATTCCTTGACCCTTTTATCTAACTACAGTTTCTCTGTAAGTGATGTCATCTAGTCCTATGACCTTAAATAACAACCACATGCTGATGCCCATTTTTATCTTAAGCCAACCTCAAGATTTGCATTGCCATCTATCTGCCATTTTGACCTCTGTCATAAACATATGAAATATGTCCAAGATGTAATTCATAATTCCCCACCTCCCCCACCAAACAAACTCATTTGATACAAGACTGAATATCCCCAGTTTTCCCCTTCTCTCTTAAGAGAAAGTCATCCTGAGTCCTCCTTTAACGCACCTCCAAAAGGACTCGACATCAAGTACAAGTGATTCTGCCTCCCAAGTATATCTTGTAATTGTTTATCTCTCTCCATCTTTACTCCTAGTCTCTGTATTCAGGTGTTCCAGTTATTAATTTATTTTCCTTTAGCTCCAAATCTACCTTTCTTTGTCCTACTTTATGACCCTCGAGCTATACTCTGCAAACCACATTTTTTTCTCTGCCAGATGTTGGGTTTGGCCAGTTGGGGGTGAAGAGTGTGCTGAAGGGATTCTCAAAGCTGGAGAAGGAGGCACTTATCTTGATTTTTTTTCTCCACATGACAGTGAATGAATCAGCATACAGCTGGCCCTGGTGGTATTCCTTGTGGTGGTGGATTGCTCCCATGGTTCCAGCTGGTAAATGTCCTCCAGAAGCTTTCTTCTTCATCCTAGCGGTGGGTGACATGTTTCTGAGCCTTCCCCCTTAGATGCCTGAATCTTAGCCTGGTACAGCCGTTCTCTACATTTTGAAGTTTCCTCCTTGTTTACCTTTCCCTTGGCCTTAAGAGTGATAGCTGTAGTCTGTGTTTGCCATCTCTGTTCCCATAAAATTCTCTTCCGCTCTTTTAGTAGCTAATCACCTTTTCACCAAGTGAACGATTCTTTATATTATGCTTCCTCTGTTTGAAGTGCTGTGTGGTTTCTGACTGAACCCTAACTGAAATAGAAATTGGTACTAGGAGTAGTTCTAGGAGAAAAACTCTCAAAGATTGCTTTCTGTTGTTGGTTTGGTCTGAGCCTCTTGCCAAGGGGAGATGCAGTGCTAGTTATACACGACATTCAGCAGCATCACAATCAAATAACCACACGTGTTGACTGTGATGAAGTGCATGTGCTTTGGGGGCTCAAGTGCCTGCTGCACCTGACTCAAGTGGCAGTAGTGATCACTGTAAGGACCTTGCTGCAGGTTAGATACTTCTGAGTACAGTGAGTCCTTACAGAAAGAAAATGAAAATCTCAGGACCTTAAACTCTTCGTTCAATTCTTGGTCTGAGGACCAGAGAGCTTCCACAGCAGCCCTAAAATGATCTTTTTTTTTTTTATAGTCACAGGGCCGATATTATTGAAAATCAAATGCAAAATTTAATTGTGCAGATTGCAGAATTACATCAGTTGAATTCACAGCCTTGCAAAGTGTTCCATGTGAACATTAGGTCATTAGTCAGAAAGGAATGACGTCCTAAAACTTGAAATGAGGAGTTTTGGCTGGACTCAAAAAAAGCTGAGAATATTGAGTCACTCTTAGTCCCCCTTGCCTGTACCTCTGTATCTGAGGAGTCTTTTTCTCCCTCAAAAACCTACAATTACCTCACCTGGAGCAGATACCCCACAAAAGAGAGGATGCCCATCCTCCTTAAAACCTACCCCAAACACTCCTATTGTCATTAGACCCATAACTAGGGTTAAGTTTCAGCATGTTCTGGTGGCCTGGAAGTGGTAGAAGTCCCTGAGTATAACTGGTGCTGAGTCCAGGTTCCCAGATTTGCCCCTTCTTCCAGGAACCACTATTTGCTCTGTAGAGTGAATATGGACTAAGATAAGCTCAATAAACACTTGGCTCCAGATTCTCAGCCAATGTCTTTCAACACCATGGCTTCAAAAACTATTTGAGAGGTAATTTTCAGGCTCTATCAATAGAAGCATTCTCCTTAAACACATATGGTAACTATTGTTCGATTCTGGACCTGTCAGCATTGTTTCTCTTTGATAGCTTTCAGACCACATGGGTGATACTTAGGTGGCATATAGATGTTGGTGGGAGAAATGAGGCATTGGCAGAGGCAGTTTCTCTTTCTCTGAGACTTTCTCCTGAACTTCCTGGGCACTGAGTCATCTTTAGCAAATGGCTGGGATTTAGCTGTTGAAATAAAGGATCTCTATGTTCCAAGCAGAAGGAAAGCAGTCCTTAGATACTGAGCTCAAGTGTCTCTGAACTAAATTCCTTCATTTTTCAGGAAGCCAGACAATTAAGGTTATATAAACAAAGTATTTACATGTATTATGCAGTCAATGACACTCTTTTCCAAGGGTCCTCGTGGGCAGATAGGTTTATTTTGCAATTAACAATCAAAACCTTTTGTGAAATTTAGATTTGTGGATTGGAAGCGCAGAATTTCATCTTATACCTCTGGTTTATTTTTTGTGTGTACCCACTAAGGTATGTAGTCAGTTATTGTCAATAAGTATTCAGCCTTCATTTCCATCTTGTGTTGGCTGGGAGTACAGTTCCACCGAAAACCAAACCGTGGGTTTGAGCCTAATGGACATCTGTCAATCCTGCGCTGTTCCATGGCCCTATCTCTGGGATCAACATCCTGGTCATAAAGGGAGCTGGGTAGGCTATATGGCTGATTCATATTAATAGAGGATAAGCAATAGAAAGTGCACATTTCTGATTGGAGGAGCTGGGAAGGAGTATCATTGGTGTTGTCTTTTTATATAAAAACAGGTTTGCTTAATATTTAAAGAGCTAAAGCTATTTACAAGTTAAAACTTATTCATATATCTCGTTTCTCTCCCCTTTTTCCTGTTCATTCATTCATTCATTGAATAAGCATTTCCCTCTCTAAGTGCAAGGCACTGTGCAAGGTATTGGTATATGGCCTCAATGAACTTATAGTATAATGTTCTCTTTCCTAATCTCTTCTCTACTTTTTCATCCCTTTGTCCTCCTCTTTCCCCTAAACATTTCTTCTTTCCCATCCCCTTTTTCTTTTATACATTATTATTCAAGCATATGATAAATTTCTTTTTTCTTTTTTTGCTTAAAGAAACAGCTAACTCAAATCAGGAAAGTCTGAGTAGTTCTTACAACAATGATGGGCTGCAATCCTGCATTTTACCTTTGTCACCAACAATACCTGCTAGTGGGGCAGTTGGAGACTTGGGGTAGTACAAGCAGTGAGACCCTTACCTTACTGAGATCAGTTCCATGATGATGGACTCTAAGCTCTAATCATGTGCTATTTCAAAGTCTATCTTTGTCCTCCTCCAGCATAAGTACAACCCCTACTTCCCTTAGAAATAATTTGAGTTTTAGGGGATTTTCTCTGCCCAGCTACCTTGCCCAAGCCTAGAAAATTTAGTCACACAGAGGCATGTCGCCCAATGAAGAGAGTTTGGAATTGCTCCATAAACACAATCTGTGAAAACATAAAGGTGTATGTTTACTCTTCATCTAGAATGGACTATGTAGGGTTGGGGACCCTGGTTTTGTGTCTTCTCATGATTGCATAGCACATGACCTGCTTTACTTGCCCAATAAAACTGTTGTAATTACTTAATAAATATTTACTGATAGCAATGAATAAAAATTAAGAATCTAGGCTGGTTATTTCAGTGGTCAAGGGGACAAATTCTGTGAGAACAAACTTTTCCACCTTCTCTTCCAAGCTGGAGTTTGTTTTTGTACTTCAGCTTTGGGTCCTCAACTGGAGCCAGAAACTGTGGGTCAAAGGATTATATAACCACTGATAATAAACAAGGCCAGAGATGGGAACTATGCATACCCCAGCCTGTTTTATAATAGGTGTTTAGTGAAGACATAATATATAGATTATCTTGGTCCATACTCACTCTGAAGAGCAAGTAGTGTTTCCCTGGAAGAAGGGGCAAATCTAGGAACCTGGGCTCAGCACCAGTTATAGGTAGAGAACTGCTGCCACTTCCAGGCCACCAGAACATGCTGAAAGTTAACCCTTGTTATGGGTCTAATGGCAATAGCGGGTGTTTGGGATAGGTTTTGAGGAGGATGGGCATCCTGTCTTTTGTGAGGTATCTGCTCCAGGTAAGGTAATTGTAAGGTTTTTGTGTATTGGGGAAGGCTCCTCAGATCCTCAGATACAGAAGAGCAAGCTCCTTTTAAAAAAAAAAAAATTGAGGTATAATTGACACATAGCATTATATTAGTTTCAGGTGTACAGTGTAATTATTTGATAATTGTATGTATTGCAAAATTGTCACCACAATAAGTCTAGTAAACATTGTCACTGGACATAGAGAATTTTTTTCTTGTGATGAGACTGCAAGCTATGTTTTTTTCTAGAATCTTATTAGTTTTAGATTTTACATTTAGGTCTGTGAGTTGATTTTGTATAAGGTGTGGAATATTGATCAAGATCTATATTTCTTATGTATGTGTATACATATACATATATATATATAATACATATATTATTTGCTTCTAAATGTTCAAATGTTCCAGCACCATTTGTTAAAAGTACCATAATTTCTCTGCTGAACTCTTTTGTAGCTTTGTCAATAATCCACTGACCATAAATACAAGGATTTATTTCTAGACTCTCAATTCTATTTCATTGATCTATATTCCTATCTTTTTGACATTATCATACTGTCTATAAGTCTTGAAATTAGGTGGTGTGAGATCTCCAACTCTGTTCTTTTTCTATTTGTGTGTGTGTGTGTGTGTGTGTGTTTAAACTATTCTGGTTCCTTTGGCTTTCCATATAAAATTTTAAATTAGCTTGTCTGTATCTATAAAAAAAAGTCCTGCTGGAATTTTGATGGTGATGGCCTTGACTCTATATGTTGGTTTGGGGAGAAACAATTTCTTAATAATACTGAATCTTCCAATTCATGAATACTGTATGTCTCTGCAATTTTTAAGATCTTCTTTTGTTTCTCTCATCAGTCTTTTGTAGTTTTTAGCATATAGATTCTGCACATATTTTGTTAGTTTATACCTAAGTACTTCACTTATTTTTGGTACTATTGTAGATGGTATTTTTAAAATTTCAAATTTCAATTGTTGTATTAGCAATAAGATTGATTTGTATATTGGTATGTATCCTGCTACCTTGCTAACTGATTTATTAGTTTTAGGATTTTTTTGTAGATTCTTTGAAATTTTCGACATGGGCAATTTTGTTATCTATAAATAAAAATATTTTTGTTTCATACCTTCTAATCTATTGGGTGGGGCAAAAAGTGCCTTCAGTTTTTAAGTAAAAATAAAAGACACATTTTTCATTTTCACCAAGAACTTTACTGAACAACATACTCACCCTTTTGTTCTACTACCTTCTGCCATTTTCCAGGCAACTTCATAATTCCATCTTCCCAAAACTTTTTATCTTTTTGAGCAAAGAACCGTTCCAGGTACCTTTAACAGTCGTCCAGGGAATTGAATTTTTTTCCATTAAGAGAATTTTGTAAAGACCTAAATAAGTGGAAATTCGAAGGTGCGATGTCTGGTGATTACGAAGGATGAATCAGAACTTCCCAGCCAAGCTGTAACAGTTTTTGCCTGGTCATCAAAGAAACATGAGGTGTTGCCGTTATCCTGATAGAAGATTATGTGTTTTCTGTTGACTAATTCTGGATGCTTTTTGTCGAGTACTGCTTTCGGTTGGTCTAATTGGGAGCAGTACTTGTTGGAATTAATTGTTTGGTTTTCTGGAAGGAGCTCATAATAGAGGACTCCCTTCCAATCCCACCATATGCACAACATCACGTTCTTTGGATGAAGACCGTCCTTTGGTGTGGTTCATTTCGCTTGCCCCACAATCTCTTCTGTTCCACATTATTGTACAGTACCCACTTTTCATCGTCCGTCACAATTTGTTTTAAAAAAAGAACGTTTTCATTATGTTTCAGTAGAAAATCGCATGTGGAAATATGGTCAAGAAGGTTTTTTTCGCTTAACTTATGTGGAACCCAAACATCAAAGCAATTCACATAACCAAGCTGGTGCAAATGACTTTCAAAGCTTGATTTGGATATTTTGAGAATGTCGGCTATCTCCCGCGTGGTATGACGTTGATTGTTCTCAATTATTGTTTCGATTTGATCACTATCAACTTCAACTGGTCTACCCGACTATGGAGCATCGTCCAGCAAGAAATCTCCAGCACGAAACTTTGCAAACCACTTTTGACACATTCGATCAGTCACAGCACCTTCGCCATACATTGCACAAATCTTCTTGTGCATTTCAGTTGCATTTTTACCCTTCTTGAAATAATAAAGCATAATATCCTGAAAATGTTGCTTTTTTTCTTCCATCTTCAATATTAAAATAGCTATACAGGGCTTCCCTGGTGGCGCAGTGGTTAAGAATCTGCCTGCCAATGCAGGGGACAGGGGTTTGAGCCTTGGTCCAGGAAGATCCCACATTGCTGTGGAGCAACTAAGCCCGTGTGCTGAGCCTGCGAGCCACAACTACTTAGCCCATGTGCCACAACTACTAAGCCCACGTGCCACAACTACTGAAACCCATGCACCTAGAGCCTGTGCTCCGCAACAAGAGAAGCCACCGCAGTGAGAAGCCCGTGCACTGCAACAAAGGTAGCCCCCGCTCACCACAACTAGAGAAAGCCCACACACAGCAACGAAGACCCAATGCAGCCAAAAATAAATAAAATAAATAAATTTTTAAAAAATGGCTCTACGAAAATTCACCAATTCTGATAAGTCTTTTTTTAAATGCACACTGGTATGACAGCTGTCACATACAATCTAATAAAATGGTTTCGAATGAAGTTAAAGACAACTAAGTGCTACCAGAACCATCTTACAGAAAAAAACCAAACGAACATTTTGGCCCACGCAGTATATGTCTTTTACCTCTTTTTATTGCATTATTATACTGGCTAGGACTTTCAGTACCATTTGACTAGGAGTAGTAAGAGAGGGCATTCCTTCCCTGTTCTCAATTTTAGGGGGAAAGCATTTAGTCTCATCATTAAGTGTGAAGTTCCCTGTAGGTTTTTCATAGATACCTCCTTTTAGATTAAGGAAGTTCCTTCTATTCCTAGTCTGCTGAGATTTTTTATTATAAATGGATATTGAATTTATTCTAATACTTTTTCTGCATCCAGTAAGATGTTTATGTGATTATTATTCTTTAGACTGTTGATATGGTAAATTACATCAATTGCTTTTCAAATGTTGAACACACCTTGCGTTCCTTGGAGCAACCCCACTTGGTTGTGACATATCCCTCTTATATACTGTTGAATTCAATTTGTTAATATTTTGAAATATTTTTGTATCTATGTTCATGAGGGATATTGGTTTGAAAGTTTCTTAATTGTAATGTCTTTATCAGGTTTTATCATTTAATGCCAACCTCATAAAATGAGTTGAGAAGTATTGCCTCCCCTTTTTGGGGAAGAGATTGTGTAGAATTGTTATTTCTTCTATCAGTGTTTGATAGACTTCACCATGTGGCCTGGAGTATCCTTTATGGAAGGCTTAAAACTACAAATTCAATTTCTTTAATAGAAATATATCTATTTCTTCCTGTGTGGGTTTGATAGTTTGTTTATCAAAGAATTGGTTCATTTCATCTACATTATCAAATTTATAGACATAGAGTTTTCCCTAGAATTCTGTTATTATCTTTTCAATGTCTGTGGGATCAGTAGTGATGTCCCTTCTTTCATTCCTGATGTTAGTAGCTCATGTTCTTTCTATTACTCTTGTTCAGTTTGACTAGAGGTTTATCAATTTTACTGAACATTTCAAAGCACCAGCTTTTGGTTTCATTAATTTTCTCTATTATTTGTTTTCTTTCTGTGAAAAATGCCTTTGGAATTTTGATAGGAATTGAATTGAATCTGTATATTGCTTTGAGTAGTATGGACATTTTAACAATATTAATTCTTCTGATTAATTCCACGATTATGCAATATCTTTCCATTTATTTGTGTCTTCTTCAGTTTTTTTCATCAGTGTCTTATAGTTTTCCATATACAGGTCTTTCACCTCCTTGGTTAAATTTATTACTAGGTAGTTTATTCTTTTTGATGTAATTGTAAATGGAATTGTTTTCTTAATTTCTCTTTCTGATAGTTCATTATTAGTGTATAGAAACACAACCGATTTTTATGCATTGATTTTGTATCCTGCAACTTGACTGAATTTGAGTAATATCATGTCATTTGCAAATAGTGACAGTTTTACTTCTTCCTTTCCAATTTGCATGCATTTATTTCTTTTTTCTTGCTTAATTGATCTGGCTAGGACTTCTAATATTATGTTGAATAAAAGTGGTGAGAGTGAACACCCTTGTCTTGCTCCTGATTTAGAGGAAAAGCTTTTAGCTTTTCACTCTTGAGTATGATTTTTTTTTTTTGAGTATGATTTTTTTTTTAGTCTCAATTTTAATTGATTTCTGCTCTTACCTTAATAATTTCCTTCCTTCTACTTGCTTTGAGTTTATTTTGCTCTTCTTTTTCTAGTTTTTAAAGGTGTACAATTATATTATTGATTTGAGACATTCTTCTTTTCCAATATAATCATTTAATCGTATAAATTCCATTTGAACCACTGTTTTAATTGCCTCCCACAAAATCTGATATGTTGTAGTTTTATTTTCATTTCATTTCCCCCTAGTTTCCTTTGTGGCTTTTTCTTTGACCTATGGGTAATTTAGAAGTGTGTTGTTTGATTTCCAAATATTTGTACATTTACTAGATATCTTTCTTGTATTAACTTCTAATTTAATTCCATTATGATTCAACAAGATATTTTATGTGATTTCAATTATTATAAATTTGTTAAGATTTGTTTAATGGCCCAGAATTTGGTGTATCATGGTGAATATCCCATGTGCACTTAAAAAAAATTGTTTTCTACTGTTGTTAGGTAGAGTGTGTTCTGTAAAGGTGAATTATGTCACCTGGTTTATAATGGTGTTTAGGTTTTCTGTATTGGTACTGATTTTTTGTCTACTTCTATCAGTTACTGTGAGAGAAATGTTGAAACCTCTAAGTATAATCATGGATTTATCTACTTCTCATTTCAGTTCTATCTGTGTTTAAGTTTTTGGAAGTTGTCTTGTTAGGTGCATACACATTTAAGATTTTTTTTTTTTTGGTGAATTCACTCTTTTCTTATATAATATCTTTTTTTCTCCCACCCCTGGTAATAGTCCTTGAAGTTTATTCTGTCTGATATTAATATAGACACTCCATTTTTCTGTTGATTAGTGTTTGCATACTATGTTTCCATCCTTTAACTTTTAACCCATTTATGTCTCTATTTTAAAAGAGATAGCATATGTTGAATTGTTTGATGGTTTTAACAGATAATCCACTCGGTTTGCTTCAGACTGTCTATGTTCTGTGAGTGATAGTTCCAGTAGCATCTCAGTTTTTGGAACCTTTGCTAGGCTGCTTTGAATATGTTGTGTGCTTGTGCAGTTCAGGGTTAAGCATCTTCTTTATCCATTCAACTGCTGATGGAAGCTTTTGTTCTTTTTTTGTTGTTGTTAATTGGTGTATAGTTGTTTTACACTGTTGTGTTAGTTTCTGCTGTACAGTGAAGAATTCCTTGTGCTATACAGCAGGTTCTTATTAGTTATCTATTTTATACAGATTAGTGTATATATGTGAATCCCAATCTCCCAATTCATCCCACCCCCAGAAGCTTTTATTCTTATTTTCCATTTTATTGTTTATTTTTGACAATGAGAGTATTTTCTCATGGAATTTTGAACATCTTACCTTGTGGCAAAATTATTTAGAATTTAAGATTTTAGTAGTTTATATTAGATCATATAAATATAGCCTGTATTTTGCTTTGATGGCTTTTAAACTTGACAGATTGTATTATTTTAAGAGAGATTTAAAATGCCTCATCTCACAGTGTGTATAGATTATACCTGGAAACAATGTTTATTTAAAAGTAAATCTGTTTTTGGTCTATTTAGGACTTGGTATGAAGAACATACAATGCAAACAAATACAAATGAGAAAAGATATTTCAACAGGAGGTTTCACTGATTTATTGTTTATTTAACTGCTTTGAGCAAAATGCTTGGTTCTTACTTGAGTGAGAAAGTGAATGAGGCCCAGTCATCTACAAGGATGAAAATTGGATTCTGATTGAAGCTTCTGCTGTAAGACAACACTGTCTCCTCTAGCATGGAAGAATAGTATCATCTTCAAGCTCTTGTGATTAAGAATGTACAGAACTGGGTTTCCCACCTGTGAGGAGGGTATATTTGAGAGATTATTTACAAGTTGTGTATTTGATGGTGGTGGTAGGGGCAGGGGTCATGCTTGCCTCTTGGTCACAAGCGAGTCTACAGAATCATTCAGCAGCTTTTCTGGCAGACTTAGCCTGTGTCCCAGTGTCACTGACTGCCACCTAAAGCAGGGGTCTCCAACTCCTGGACCGCAGACTGGTATCCGTCTGTGGCCTGGTAGGAACGAGGCTGCACAGCAGGAGGTGAGTGGTAGGCAAGCGAAGCTTCACCTGCCGCTCCCCATCACTCGCATTACCGCCTGAACCATCCCCCCGCCCCCATCCGTGGAAAAATTGTCTTCCACGAAACCAGTCCCTGGTGCCAAAAA